AAGAGCTTAACTTTAACTAAGAACAAAGAGATGGAAGATAAATGTGACTCTTTTCGTTTGAAAGGTTCTCAAAATGCCGTGGCTCGAAGTGAGTATAGCAAAATCATCACTGTTTTGTTCTTATTGCTTGCTTTTTGGTGATAAAGAAGTGGAAGAAACCTAAGCCCCACCCAAATCTTGGTCCACCCACCGCCACTGCAGATGTCCAAACCACCTAATTATTTGCCTCTGAATGTAGTGTAGGACAGGTGTTGTTCCCATCACTTCTCTGGTCATATTGTTTCTGATCATGTCCTGTCTGGTTTTGATAACAGCTCTCCCTAGACATCTCATCTCGCAGGTGGTTATCTTAGGTTCCAGGCTTTTGGTCAAGGTACAAGGCTCACATGAAACCCAAAATCCATTGTCTGAAAGTAGGATTTTATCAAGACTGTATGTGATGCTGATATTGCGTCTGCTTTTTCTCGCTGATGCTGCTGATAACGGAGGGTGTTAAAAGGGATCGTAAGTATACCCAAAACTAAATCAAGGTAGCTTAGATTATTGAACTCGGATTGTAGTATATTACTGATAATATTACGAAAAAAAATTGTTGGTTGATAACGGCAATAAGGCATACGTGATGGCCTGTACTTGACATGACCTTTTGGGAGCTGCTCACATGACGCGACATTCTATGAGCTGCTTCCATGAAAGCCTACACCACACAGGACTGATTTTCTTTGTTGTAGGTGGTGGGTTTACTTTTTTTTGGGGGGGGGGGTTGAAGGGGGGGGGGGGGCTGGTAAGAGTTTTACGGCGCTCGCAACTGCAAGAGGTCATATGAACACGCGGGTCACATTAAACATACTTTTCAGTTTGGTAGAGATTAATTTTTAATTTTCAAGCCTACTCTTGTCGATTGTTGGACCACCAAGGGACCCTTAACGTGCGCATCTTGCATACGTGACCTCCGAGATTTCTTCACCCTTTTCCGGGAAGACTAGGCGTTAGACCTTCCCTATCTTAAGATCAGGGGTGTGGCTGAAAGACAGCAGTAAGAAGGAGCCAAGGTGTAGCAGCAGGAAGGCTGCTGAGTCAGGATCCCAGAGGAGAGGGTGAAGGGGGGAGGGGGTGGGGGTAGATATTGATTGTCTGCTGAAGGACAGCACGTGGGGTTGGGATGGCCAACAGAATGCGGGCGGAAATAGTCCAAGAAGGACAACCCACCCAACCCACCCCCCCCAACCCCTTTTTGTTTTATATTATAATCCTCCAGCCTGTTAAACCAACCTACTACCTTAGACACCCTGTGAAGTTCGTGTGACGAATCGTGGTACTTAGTTGTAGTAAACGTTTTATGGCACTTGCAACACAGTTAGGTTCACAAGAGACTAGAAACACAAAAAAGGAAGAGAGATCCGGACGTTAGATGTTTCATTGGAAAGAAAGAACAAATCACACCAGATCAAAGCACCGGCCAACCACCCAAGAATCGGGATATAACAATTTGCGGCGGATTTAATTGGCGGTATCGGTGATGATAGGATCGAATAAGCCTACCAGATGTGACTACGTGAATTCTTTACTACTGTTCACACAGGACCAAGGATGATGCAAACAATATATTATATAGTTTCTACTTTCTGGCCTGCATTTATCTTATCATGACACAACTATAGACTTGGAGAGTTGTAAACAGAGTTGGTTTTGATGGACCAAAAGCCTGCTAATGATGCTGTTGCAAAATAAAATGCATTTTCTAAATGTGCATAAGAAAGCGCACACAATCAACCACTTTCACTGTTATTTTGTAAGAGGTTTCTGCCGGGGAAATTTTGTTTGATGTTTTCAAATAAGGTCACTTCACGGGTCTATTTTGTTTAATTCTTTGATATTACGCTACATTAGGATTGCACCGTTTTATCTCATGTCTTTGGCCGCTTTTAGGTAATAAGACCGTGATGTCAAACCCAAATGTTTATAAATGTTCCAGCTGCTTTATCAAAATCGTAAGATTATTAATTTGGAGTCGTTATCAAAACAATCCAAGAATTGCATTCGAAAGAGCTCGACTTGTGAAACCCGACATTTTTTAGGTGAAATTTCTCGACAAGGTACTGACCAGAAAGAACGTTGTGATTCTAAGGTAGCGGTTATACGCGGGAAATAAAGGCAACGTCAGAGACAATGCTGATGTGGTAATATTGATCCCGGCGATTAGGAAAACGACTTCATTCTTGACGGCAGCGACAACGACGATAATTCAACGATAAATTCCGGAGAAAGCCGACATTTTGACATAATGGAACTTTTGTGTCGATTATCATGTCATTTTGCCTTGTTAGATAGTTTACGAAATTCCTAATCCTATGCTGTTTATTTTGTTTTTACAATGATGATGGTGAGGTGGAGGAAACGGAGGGGTGAGGATAGGAGGAGAAAGCAGTATCCTCTAATATTTTTTTTTCAAAGTTCACCACAAAGCTCATTTCCCTCCTGACATCGATTTGCACTCAAGACTTCTTTTGTTCATTGTTTTGGTCTGTCATAAACCAGAAACCATAATATTGACGCCGATATTTTCTATTATCAAAATTCTATTTTCTGATGCATACACACAAAGCGACTAGATTACACTTCCACTGGACGCCACAGGGAATGCCTACAAAATAATGACGCCATAAATTGTTGCTCATTTCTTTGGAAGTAATGGCCACCATTACGACGAAGTGTAAAGCTTTTCATTGTAGCCATGGAGACCAAAACTGCTCAAGGCGCTCTTTCGGAATACCGTCTTGGTAGAACAGTGTGCCACACATTCTTTATTACTTTGAATGCAAGTTACAAACTCTGTTAATTTGAAAGTAAGTTTGTTTTTTTTAACTCTGTTACCCCGAGTTAAAGTTACAAACTCTGTACTTTGAGTGCAAGTTACAACCTTTGTTACTTTGAGTGCAAGTTACAAACTATATTACTCCCAGTGCAAGTTTTAAAAAACTTTGTTACTTTAAGACAAATTACATTGTTACTTTGAGTGCAAATCCCAAACGCTGTTACTTTGAATGCAAACTGTGTTACTTTGGCAACAGTTTACAAACTTTGTTACTTTGAGTGTATGTTGCAAATTTAGTTAATATAAGTGCAAGTTTAAAACTTTGTTACTCTGAGTGCAAGTTACAATCTGTATTGTGGGTGTTCAAAAGTGAACTTGCACACTTTTTGTGAGGTGTGTGACAGTACAAGTGAACTCACGATGGATGACTCCAAGAAGAAACTAATTGAGCTTGTGTCTTGAGTTCCTCATATGTTTTGAAGGACATTCTCATATAATTGAAGAACAATGTGTCATCTTTACGCGTCATCAATGAGCAGAAACTTAATTTAACCTCTCCTTTTGTGCTCCTCTGGGTGCGTTTTTTCTCTTCTTCTCTGCATTTCTTAGCAATGCTAGTGCAATAAAAGTATCTTTTTCAGAAAAATCCATGATGACGAAAGGAAGTGTGACTGTCTATGCCGTTCCGACTTGTCGCGTGTCACGTCTCCAGTGTGTGGGGGGGGGGGGGGGGGGGGGGGAGGGGGGAGACCTGCTGCACTTTGCGTGCCGACATGCCGAGTGTCGTGAGCCGTGTGCTTTCTTATGGAAGTTCAGCCTTTGGGGTGCTTCAAAGTGTGGTGCTGACCAAAATAATACAGGGTGATCCAAAAAAATCTGTACAACTTTTTTGGTTTATATTTTCCTCTATATTTAAGTTTCGCGTTTCAAATTTGTACACAACATTGGGAAATCAAAAGTAAGTTGTCTGATATTCATTTTAGATAAATTCACAGAGTAGTTTTGCCTTACATAGCGCGTAGAAAAACAACCCATTTTCAGCTAAATCCCAATTTTTGTTGTATGGAGCACAAGTTCACACAAGGCCTACCACTAAAAATCACAACGATCAAGGGATAGCAATATGTTCATGATTCCTCGATCGTTTTGAAAAGCATGAATTTCCTCTATTATATTTAGTTCCTTAGAAATGAGCAAAGCCTAATTCACATTTCAGCTTATATCAACTCTACAAAGGCTGTCTTTTGGGCAACCTCCCCCCCCCTCTCGCATGTATCTAGAAACAGCTCCATACTGTAAGGTATACAATGTGTGGGTTTGAGTACTCATGGTTGAGTGGATCCTTGTGTTTGGCCACCACTGAACATTACGAACGGCGCGTTAAAATGTGTCGAGCCCAAAGGAGGACATATATAGACCATTGGTTCTCGGAATTTCGAAATTAAAAAAAAAATATTATTTTAACTCTGTAGGAGAACAGAAATATTGTTTAAAGATTACAGGGATGGAAAGATTAGATTTTAACAAGAAAAGGAAAGGGAAAAGCAAACCAATCATTTCTTGACTGTTCTTCAAACATCTTTTAAATTGGTGCATTTTGCATTTTATAGGTGGTTTTTGTAAAAAGCCATTTCTGTTTTCGAAAATAAGTTTCTTCTTTGTGAATTTGATTGAATTATATCTGTTCCAAATTATAACATTCTAGTACAAACTTTATGCAAGATATTGAGAAAAAAAGTTAAATGTTTTTTTATCGCCCTGTATATCAAATATCAATGTTTTAGGTGTCTGTTGCAAGTCTTCTATTATTTATTTGACCTGCTTTAGGCTAACATCCGAGACAGCGTGTTGGAACACTGGTTTTTATAAACAGACTTTTAGATTCGGTTTGTCATCCAAATTTTAGACCCGTATGCAATGATCTGAGGAGATTATACAGATGAAAGTGAACAAGTTATATTTTGTAATGGCCTTTATAAATAACCTTTTAAACTATGTTTGTCATCCAACGTTTAGACCCGTACGCAAAGACATGAGTAGAATAATCAGAGTTATCTGACTTAACCTTGTTTTAAACGTGACCAGGCAAAAGTGAACAAGTTATAACAGCAGTTCTCTACAATTCACATCGTTATACCTCACAAACTGTGACGTCACTCTAGAACATGTAAACAACACTAGTTTCTTTTCCTCTTGCAAACGACCTTTATTGCTGTTCTTTTGTCCACTGCACTTTTACCCACAGGACACTGAAGAACCGTTATGAGTCAATATGATACACCATTAAAGAGGCACAAGAAGTGCCCGGCTTTAGCCTTTGATATGCGCCTAGTCGTGTTGAGATTTCAGCACATTACTGAGTCAATGTGAGGACCACTTGGGGGGACGAGGGGTGGGTGACTATAGCGGACGGTATCCTGGACATCTCTTTCTTAGCGGCTTGTCATGGACCATTCTATATTCGTACCTTGCTCCTTGTCCCACCCGTCACCCACCCCACCCCTCTTCCCCGGTCAACCTGTGAGGGTTCAGAGGTCAAGCGTGTGCTGGTTGCAGAAGCGCCCCTGTGAAGGTGCTGTAGTAGCCATGCACGTGGTTGCCACCTTGGTACAGCAGACGCACCCACACCAGGTCGCCACTGCGCAGGTCCACAACCGCCATATTGCTTCCGCTCCCGTGGGCGTCATGCGCGCCGGAGTAAATGCGCGCGACTTCCTTGTCGTTGACGATGATGGCGGTCTCCACCTGTGGAAACAGAGTGAGCGGGAAGGGTCAGATACAAGATAGTCTGTGCTCTAACCATAGTCTGAGGGCTGGGCGATAAATTTTCGCTTTCGAATGGTGGAAATCAACAACTTGATTAATTGATGGTAGGGTTAGTCGGTGTTTAGCTTTACAACACAATACTTATTGTTTTTAATGATTGTAATGATTATAATGAAAATAACAAGTACAAAATGTACATCCATATAACACATGTCTTTTTTTTAACAGAAATCTGTATGCACTCTACAACTCTTGTCACCTCAACAGACCCTAGATTATTCACAGAGATTCTCGGTTCCCAGGAAAGCATACAGTGCTAGTGGCCGACTTAAACTGACAAGAAGCTACCGGACCCGCAATCATGAGATTGCGGGTTCGGGGGTTTGAGCGACAGCTGGGTCTGACGTTGTGTACTCGGGAAAGGCACTTTACACAAGGATAACCTATTTGGCTTCGTCCTTTCAGAGGTGGACGTTAAATTTGGACGTCCTGCCTAACCTAATAGTGTTGATAGGGGCGATAAACTTATACCATTTAACCATTTTCACTATATCTGACAAGGCCTGTCTCCTTCTAGCAAGGTACTCATTCTCACTTGGATGAAGTGAGGAAAAACATGTGTAAAACGCCCAACTACTAGACTTTCACCTTTGTTTCTTATCTCTTAGTCAAAGTGCTGCTGGAATATGAGCGTGGTATTAGCCTGCAAGGATGAAGAAGTCGTGTTTATCTTTTTTTCCTTGCTCTGACCCCCTTCTAGACGTTCCCTCACAGCTGTGAGTATATTACACACTCTGTAAACAAGGGTAGTCGTGTGTGTGTGTGGGGGGGGGGGCGCCAGGTCCTATCTCTTAACGTTTATTCTTTTGCTTCTGTCAGTGTCTTGTTTTTATAACATCAGCACTGAAGATAAACAACCGTTATATAGCGTTAATGTGCTTCTTGTATCTCAAACTGGTCTTTACGCTATAACTATAACTGAACATCCAGGGTACCTCTGCAGTTTAACAGCAAGGGTAACTCTATAGTTCAACACCTCCCCCTTCCCCCCTGTCCCCCACCTGTCCCCCACCTGTATCCTCTCTCTCTCTCTCTCTCTCTCTCTCTCTCTC